TCCCAAGCAACATCGCACTTCAGTTGAGTGAGGACACTGTTGCTACCGCCACCCCTGAACTGGATGCACTGGCTCTACCACAAACCCCAAACTGGATACCATTCCTGCCATGGCTACTGCTGAAATGGGATGCAGCTATCTTCACTCCCCACCAAAAAGAATTCTCTCCATTCCTGACTCACTATCACCATGTTAAAGATTTCAGGTGGATGATTAGCTGAGCCTAGGTCATTATACCTGTTCTCTAGCTGTCACAGAGCCAGGAAAGTGATTATCTAATATTTTCAGCTTATTACGGAAGAACTCTCTCTCCTGCCAAGTAACGTAAGGAAGGGAATTCCCTAAACAGAGGAAGGGAGCTCAAATATGGACATTCCAGTATTACATGTGTAGTGACAAATTTTTACACAAAGTCTTTTTACACTTTCTCCTTCTGTTCACCCTGCCCCACTCCCCAAAAGTACCAAATAAATTTTGAGTGAGTTTCAGTTACAATGGACTGGGGACAAAAAAAAATTATCTCCAACAATTGTTGTGACATGACATTTTGTGTAACTATTTCACTATATGTTTTTCTGATTTGTTAATTTAAAAGACCATGAAGTTTTTAATTGGATAACTTATTCTTATACCTTTAAATCAAAATGCAAAGAAAAAATAATTAATTTTGAAGAGTGTTTGAAATGCAACTGTTTGAGGGGCCCTTATAGAACGAAACTACAAGAAACACAAATGACAGAGGCTGATGAATGGAGTCTATGTTTGATCATTAAAGTCTGACAAATGGAAAAACAGTGACTTAGTGGATGAAAGAGGAAGAATAAATAACTAGTGAACCATGATACCATTGTTGATAAATGGTGGTTTTCACCACTTATCAGTTGGAGCTGTAAAAAAGGGTAAATGAAGAAAGTACATCAGGTAATGGTGAAAAAGCAGTCATAACCAGTCTTTGAAAGAGTAAGGGAATACAAATATGGCAACAGGAATGTTAAAACTTTTGCTGTGTTTCATTTTTAGGTTTGGGTACGCCATATAAAAACATCTAGTAAATCTTAACTATAGAGTAAGTAAAATAATTCTTAAAACCTAAATTATACTGGATTTATTAGTCAAATAAGCCAGATCATTGGAAAATAAACCTTTCACTTTAGGTTTGGAAAAAATATTCCTTGACTTTTAAATACTAACATGTATTTTATAGATCTCCTTAACCCCAAGACAATATAAAGATGTACTTAGCTACAGTCTCTAACATGTATCAAAGGTATGTCTTGAAAAGTAATTGATTTTAGAGTTTCCTGAGTAGAATGCTGAAATATCTTAATTACTGAAGTTATCCCACAACAAGTTATATGTCTAGGTCCTGTGTTGGTACCTGTGATACAAAGATAAGTAAGATACAGTTATCATTACCAAGGAGCTCACAGTCTAAGGGGCTCCAAAGGAATATGGTAAACACAACAGCAGATGTTCATAGGAGACAAAACAGGCATGGAGACCATGGCTCCATCTGAAGATAAAAAAGGAAGTCTTTCTGGATGGACAAGGAAGTTCCAGAGCCAATCCTAAATCACTGTACCAAAATTCTCGAGTTTTAAGACAAGGGAGAAAACAGTTGTCCCATTTATATAAATAAAATAAAAAAATCAGGAGGATGAAGCTAATAAATTATTTTGGAATGCCCAAACTTACTTCTTTAGCAAGTATATCTGAAAATTTCAAATTGTTAGTAAACATGAGTGACAAACATAATCAATATAAATATTGCATATGAATACAATATTCCAAGAATTTTCCACATTGCTTAAATATAATGGTAGTGGATTTACTTCCTTCATGTATCATCCGACTGTTCATAGCCACCAACAGCACTTATTTTAGTCCTTTTCCTTTCCTTAATAGGCATACTGAAGATTAAATGAAACACGTGAAGCTTAGTACAGGACCTGGAATACAATAGAGCAGTAGAGTTAAAAAATGATGGTCTCCTTTTCCAGCTCAAGGTGGTTCATATATGTCTTCATTACAGTGTCTTTCAATTAGAGGTTTTCTATAAATATTTGAACTATACACTAACCTCAAAGCTAATTACTTATCAGTACCTACCAGAGAAATCTTCAGCACCTTTTCTTTTTCCCCAGTTTCCTCAGTCCTCACCCTATTCGCTCTTAGTAAAACCTTATAACAAAACTCTGTAAGTGTCTAAAAAATAACTCATTTACACTATTTTTTTTAAACAACGTTTTTTTAAAAATCACATTGGCATGATTCACGAAACAGTTACTAGAAGTTTCTGCCAACCCAACTGTAAATAGTACTATCAAGACTTTCTTATCTACAGAAAAACAAATCCCTCAGGTATTGAGATTACTCATAATCCCAAATCTCAGAGTAGGTACAGACAAGGCAGCAAGTGTAGCTGGAGTGCACTGACGACAGATGGCAGCACTTGAACATCAAGCCCCTCTTCTCACGTCTGTGTTGCGCTGTGACTTTCAGAATCGTAAAACTCCAGTCCAGGGAGGCGAAAGATTGTCTACATAGAGGACACCTCGTTTACATTTGAAATAGTCATTTAGTACTTAGATGACAAGCACATAGGAATATAGCAGCTGCTACACAGTACAGGAATGAGACAGGACAATACACAGAGCGTGTGACTTGGAGTTGTAAAGCTTATAAGAGAAAAGGAGCAGGGTTCTGCAATTCTGAAAATGGAGGTGCTCACCAACCACTAGGACATTGAGCACATATAAACACTCAAAATGCAACTCAGCTGCACCCACACAATAAAGCAGGAAGTTGGATGACTTTTTTTTTTTTTTAAAGAAATGAAATTTATATTTAAGTGTGGTTCCTATCAACTAAGTAATAGAAAATGAGTATTACAATTACATTTTTGGTAACATTTCTTATGTGTTAATAGATCTGTATGTGGTTTATAATCAGGAAGAAGAATTTTTTTTAACTTTTGGAACTGACTTGCTAATTTTTTATACTAGAAACTTACAAAAGAAATAGATTTCCTTATCCTTCCATATTCCATGGTAAACAGCAATGAGAAGAAAAAAACACCTAGACTGAAATACTACCTCAGTCGCTTTCTAGCTATGTGACTTTACCAACATACTTAAGCTCTCTGTGACTCATGTATAAAAAAGTGTGTACACTTACCTCACAGAATTTTGTGAGGATCAAATAAGTGAAGCAAATGCCTAACATACAGTAAGTACTCAATAACTGAAAGCTGGCCTAGTGCAGTGGCTCACGTGGGTAAGCCCAGGACTTTGGGAAGTTGAGGTGGGAGGACTGCTTGAGTCCAGCAGCACAAGACCAGCCTAGGCAACATAGAAGATTTCATCTGTACAAGAAATAAAAAAACTTTGCAAGGTGTGGTGATACACACCTGTAGTCCTAGCTGTACTTGGGAGGCTGAAGAGGGAGGATCATTTTAAGTCCACGACTTCGAGGCAATGGCGAGTTGTGATTGTGTCACTGCACTCCGGCCTGGGTCACAGAGTGAGACCCCTAACTCAATAATAATAATAAGCTATTATTATTGTGGGTCAATGTGTTCTCCCAACCTCTTGCTAATTTTATTTACTTCAAATTCCTGAAAATGCACGAATGCGTTGAGAAAGTAGCTGGGAACTTGGTAGCTGCAATAATGATGTTCTTGCAAAATATTGAAGATGAAAATAAAGTTAATTTTGGAAAGGAATGAGAAAAGATGCAGATTTTAATTTTATTCATTGTGCATTAAAACCTGTGTGGAGGTCCCTATTGACGGCAAGGATGCTATGGTGAGTGCTGTTAGCTAAGTTATTGCTTGATGCTAGCCAGTCTGCTCTGCAGTACCCAGAGCACAAAACTAAAACCGATTTCTCGCATTGGTCAAGTGTTGGCAAAGGAGCACACAATGCAGGCTTTGGGTGGTTCCCAACTGGGAGGGTCTGGGCCAAGAGCAGATCACAGAAGACTACACTCAGTCAGTAAAATACATTCCCCTAGGCAATGCGGGGCAGACAGTTCCTTCCAGCCTACAGCAGGTTTCTTCTTCCCTTTCCAGGACTAGCTATTCTCAAAATGGGAGAATGAGAGTGGGTAGGCAGAACATAAAAAGATCAGTGGCCGAACACTTCCAAAGGCACCAAAAATTTGAGATTAAAATTGTAGTTGTGAGGGTCAGTAGCCTCACTAACCCATCGTAGAGTCATGTCTCATTTGTTTTTGTCTTCAACACTCAACAAGACTTAGTTTCATGTTTGTAAGTACACGAATTTTCATAATTCTCTTCTTCCAAAATGTCACTTGTGGGGGACACTGTACCAGATTTTCAAATAATTGTATCTTTCAGGCTGAGCACGGTGACTCTCACATGCAAACCCAGCGTTTAGGGAGGCCTAGGCAAGATGATTGCTTGAGACCAGGAGTCACAGCAAGACCTATCTTTACAAAAACATCAGCCTGGGTCACAGCAAGACCTATCTTTACAAAAACATCAACACTGTGTCAGGTGTGGTGGTGCCTGCCTGTAGTCCCAGTTACTCTGGACTTGCTTGAGCCCAGGAGGTCGAGGCTGTGGTGAGCTGTAATTGTGCCCCCTCACTCCTGCCTGGGCCACAGAGTGAGACTCCCGACTTAAAAAAAAATTACTCTTTTAAAGGTTACACGTGCTGAGTAACATTTCAGTCACTGATGGACCACATAAACTATGACGCTCCTATAACATTATAATGCCATATTTTTACTGTATCTTTTCTGCTTGAATAGATTTAGATGCACAGATACCGCTGTGTGACAACTGCCCACAGTATTCAGTAGCTACAGGCTGCACACTTCCGTAGCCTATGAGCCACAGGCTGTACCCTATAGCCTAGGCATGTGTGTGGCAGGATGCGCTACCTAGGTTTTTGCTTGTGTCCCACCATGCTGGCGCAACCGTGACATCGCTGAAGGCTGCACTTTCAGGAGTATGTCCCGTCGTTAGGTGAAGCATGACTGTAGCTGCTCTTGAAATGCATGACGTGCGGCGTAATAAGAGGAACGCCATGTGCCACCAGTGACGGTGCGCATTTTTCTCTATTACTGCGTGAAGCAAAATTTTGGAAACCGAGTTTCCAGATGAAACAATACCAGTAAGGTGGCACAGCTAGCACGTGACCAAGCGCAAAACTCGAACCCAGGCCCACTCGACTCGTCATCACACGACAAAAGGTTTCCGACAAATCCAGCAGACCCTAGTCGGTCGCTTCGCCGTGCAGCCTCAGGCGGTTCGGACCTGGAATCCAGGGCGCGGTTCACTGCGAACCGCCAGCGTACCCCCGCCTCAGCACCGCCAAGAGCTGGATACGTGGAGCTGAAACGTGGCTACTGCGCATGCTCACATCGCCCTTCCCGGCAGCCCCAGCGGCCCGGACGCCCCGCGGCAACTTTCGGGGCGACTTCAGAACGGCTCCGCCCACGCGAGGGCAAAGCGGAGGAGCCCTCCCTTCCACCACGTGGACGGTCTTCTCAGCCTTGAAGCGGAAGCCAGCCCCTCGGACTCTCCGGGCTCAGCCGGCGCCTGGGGCGGCGGCCATGGCCGCTGACGGGCGGTCCCGAGCGAGGTCTTCCGCCGGCCGGAGGCGCGGCCCGGCCCCCCCACGTTGGCCCAGTCTCCCTCCGCCCACGTCGACCCGCCCCCCTCACGTCGGCTCGACCTCCCCCACACGTCGGCCCAGTCCCCCCACGCTGGCACGGCCGCGTCCGCCGGCCCTCTCGCCGCGCATGCGCGGAGGGGCCGGGCCGGAGCAGGCGGCCGCGTCTTCCGTGTGCCGCCGGGGCGTCGCTATTC